ATAGTGAAGGAAAAAAAAGCCGGTAATTACATTTAAAAACCAGCACTGACATATAGTGACAGCCAGTTACTGTATACAATGCTCCTCTCTGAGAGCATTTACACAAGTATCAGTGCATAGTTTGCATGAAAATTATAGCATCTACAAATGACAGTATGTACAGTGGGCAAAAAAGTATTTAGTCAGCCACCAATTGTACAAGTTCTCCCACTTAAAAAGATGAGAGAGGCCTGTAAATGGCATCATAGGTAGACCTCAAATATGAGAGACAAAATGAGAAAAAAAATCCAGACAATCACATTGGTCCCACTTGTGAATCACCAGCCAGGACCCACTGATCGGCATGTCAGGGGAGCCAATGACAGAGCAGGTAGACGGGCACGTACGCCCCCTAACTGGGAAAGCAAAAATCACATACATAAAACACACGCGAGATCTTGCACAGCTGGCCCGCACTGTAGCAGAAAAGCTATAGTGTGTGGTCAGCAAGCAGTTAAAGTAGAACCATATGAAAAACTTTTTTTTTTTTTCCCCATTTTAGATAGAGTAAGGGAGTTTTAACCCGTCATTTTTTTTTTTTCCCCACCATCTGTGTCCCAATGCGGAGATTAACCTTCACTTCCTGTCCCATAGCCAAACAGGAAGTGAGGGGAAAGCCCTGCAAATTAAGGGAATTCCTTGGGGATCCCCAGGTCAACTGAACTAGTGTCCCCATTGGAAGATTTGCCCTCTATTTCTGGGGACAACCCAAAATGTGGAATATTCTTTTACTTTTAATGATAATGGTAAACATGACAAATCTCCCCAATGGGGGCACAAACAGAAATAAAAACGTGACAGGTGTTCTAATCCCTCTCCACTCTATTCAAAACTTAATTTTAAAAAAATTGCCTTTAGTTATACTTTAAGTCTACGGGGTTGCAGAAGAAGTTATATTGATTATCTGACTCCCTGTTCCAGACCTTTCCTTAAAGCTACAGTCTGCGGGCAATCCCTCAGCATCATGTACAGTGTAGGGCTATTAACTCTGTAATGTATCTGGTGGAGGCAGTACAGTGAGTGTTTTCATCCTAGGACAGGAAATGTGTTACTGGGATAATCACTAGGTCAGGACAAAGGGAAAAAAAAAAAAAAAAAAAAAAAAAAAAAACCACACACACATCTAGTGCACCTACCACATCTAACGACTGGTAAGCAGCAATATATAACATTTTTGTTCTTTGGTTTAGATACACTTCAGAGACATCTAAGTAATTCAAGAATCCAAGATTTCCCACCCAACCACACTACTTTTCCAATTAGTACAGAGAAGCCCAACAAAAAGTTATATTTCTTTCCTCTCAACCCCTACGCATTGAGAAACAATTGCGTAAGAGTCCAAAGGATGAGTAATTAAAACAGAAAAAATGGCCACATCACTAAGTTGCCAAAGTCTATCTGGTTTCTTTTTATTGTTGTACTATAGCCCCAAGAAACAAGTATTACAGATCCAAATCAAGCTTTTCTGACTTTATCAGCTGAACTAAGGACTGAGCCAGCTGTACCAGTCTTACAAGATACCAGCAACTCTCCCAGTATACCCACAAATACTTAAGTTGTAGTACAATTTCATGCAGCACAAGCATTGCCCGCATGCTATCACCTACATCATGTTGATCTGAATTGATAAAGAGCAATTCCATACAAGTAAACGTAATCAGCGAAAAGGCAATGCAAGAAAAAGGTTTGCTATATCCCTATTCAGGTTAAACCCTTCCTGTCCAGTCTCTTATAAATGTTTTCCTAAAAAGATGTCCCATGCCAAGGATGTCAATATATGTGTTCCACTTTTGAGAACCAGCAGCTGACAATACATGGTTGCTGGTTCTTGCCTGGCTCCCTTTGATGATTAGGACCCAAAGTAGCTATGAAATGCTGACAGACATCTCCAATGAGAAAAATATAAACCAACAGCCAACTTCAGACTACTGTGTTCATCAGCAGTGCCATGTATTTAATAGTTCAACTTTCAGCTACAGTTGTACTATTAAAAACAATAATAAATACATTTAAAAACAGAGAAATGATTTAGGGCCTGTTGACACCATAGAAATGCAGTCCAGATGCCTTTCTGCATGCATGTTTTTGGCACGTTTTTTGACCCGTTCCAGTGCATTTTTTTTTGGTACACTGAAATGAAAATTCTGGTGCCGAAATCGATACTGAAAATTCAGAATGGATGTGGCCGAAAACCGAACCGAAAGCAAAATGTCTGCATATATGTGGGTGGGGAGGCTCCAAGTTTTTTTGTATTTTTTTTCTACTTTCATGTATATATTTTTTTTAACTTCTGATTTTATTGCGATCACATAGGGGACAATAGTCCCCTCTGTGATAGCATGAGTGACAGGCCATCTTTGTAGGGGGGAGGGGGGGGGGGGGGCAGTGTGTGCAAGAAGGGGGTTGGAGAGGAGCAGTGTATACAGTGAGGCAGCAGTGTATACAGAGAGGCTCCCTCAATGGCTATCACTATATGTCAGTGTCGGTTTTTAAATGCAATTGCTGACTTATTTTTTCTTCACCATAGCTCATAGAATGAATTAAACTTTTGTTTCTTTTAGCTCGGGAAAGAAAATAAAAAGAAACTGTTTCTTTTAGCTCAGGGAAAGTGACAGCTGATTCTCTGAGCTATAGTGAAGAAAAAAAAAAATCTGGAAATTTAAAAACTGACATATAGTGACAGCCAGTCACTGTATACACTGCTCCTCTCCTGCCTTTCTCCACTGCTCCCGCCCCCCTCACATCTGCAGTACATACAGTCCCCTGTATCGGCAAAATGCCTGATACAGCTATTTTCGGCCGATATGTTTTGGTGGCCGAAATTTCAGTGCATCCCTACTTTTTTCCCCTATGTTTTTCTTCAATTTAGAAAGGGACATGTTCCAGTGTGTTTTACCGCATTCCAGTACAGTTCTGTGCAGGAAAAATGCAGCCTGTTCTACTTATTTTTCCGCAACCGAAACACACTGGAACTGAAAGCACAGATGTGAACTATGACATTGGCAACCATATAACCTACTTTCTATGCATTTTGGATGCAGAAAAAATGCACAGTGAAACGCATGTAGTGTGAACTAACCCTTAGGGTTGGTTCACACCAGATACAGTCTAGTACGTTTTTTTCTGCATCAAAAATGGATTCAGATTGTTTTCCATGTATTCCATTGGCCCTAGTTGACACCAGTGAAGTCAGTTCCAGTTAGTATCTGGTGAAGGACAAAAAAACAAAACAAAAATTAGAACAATGCATTTTTTTTTCTGCACATAACTGTATTGGAACGTAGCAAAACTCATAAAAAAATACACCGAAATGGAGTGTGTAAGCAAAAATGCATCTCCCCTTGTGAAAATTATTATTATACAGGATTTATATAGCGCCAACAGTTTGTAAAGCATCTAACAATTTGAAATGCTAGGCGTTGGCTTGTCATGATGACCCAATGGATTGAATGATTTCAGTCTGGGACCTGGAACAAATATGCTGATCAGCTTTTCTGACGTCACTGACTTTTTAAAGCGGATGTCCAGCTTTTAGTAAAGTTTAAATAGTTTGTTTTGATCAAGTTGGACAAACTATTACCTTCGCTAACAGATGCAGCAGCTGTAAGCACTGGATAAACTGTATGGAGCTTCAGCTGTCAGCCCTGTATTCCAATCAGGGGCGGACTGACCATTTGGAAACTCAGCACTGCCCGAGGGCCCGGGGTCAGTAGGGGCCCCATGAGATGCCCCTGGTACCTTTTTCATAGGCTTTTTTGAGTTTGGGCAAGGACACAGGGGCCCCATGATCCCCTATTGCCCGGGGGCCCCATGAGTTGTCAGTCCGCCCCGGGTTCCAATAATGGGTTGGGAAGTTCCCATCCCACAACCAAAACGAGTTGAGCCTGAGCTGCACTCAGCCTTTCACAGGGAGCTTCGTGTTCTATGAATGAATACAAAGCATCCTCTGACGTGCTGAGGTGGAGATGTGATGTCATCTGCTTGCCTCTCTGCCTAAGCCAATCTGAGGAAGCATTGTACTCGTTTACAGAAAACAAAGCTCCCTGTGAAAAGTAGGGATACACCGAAATTCCAGTGGCCGAAACGTTTTGACCAAAAGCACCCCTTTCAGCTGTCAGCCAAAATGAAAAAAAGCACCGATACAAGTGCCGATAAAACCCCGCCCCTCAAAGCTGCCTGCCCTTCACCGCTGCCCACCCGCCGCTCAGTAGCTCAGTCTTAACTGAGAAACCATCGATCCCGGGGCTGGGCATAGGATGAGTAAATGAAAGATGGTCGCCACACATTTCTATGCCCTTGGAGGACCGGATTGAAGTCACTCCCAGTTCCAGCTATTTTTTTTTTTTTTTTAAAGCACTAAATCAATACTTTTTTTTAATCTAATGCTTTGCATTGCAGAGGAGAGATGTGAGGTCTTATTGACCCCATATCTCTCCATAAAGAGGACCTGTCACTAATTATTTCTATCACAAGGGATGCATGCATTTCTTGTGATAAGAATAAAAAGGGATTACAATTCTTTTAAACTAAAAACAGTGCAAACCCCCCCCCAAAAAAAAACCCATTAAATACATTGGGGTATATATTTTTTTTTCAATCAAAGTGTATTTTTTTTTTTCAAAAATATATATATATTCATGTTTAAAAACTGTGCATTTCGGTTTCGGTGTTCAGCCAAGCGCATTTTGAATTTGTTTTAGGTTTCAGCACCAGAATTTTAATTTCGGTGCACCACTAGTAAAAAGGCTGACTGTAGCTCAGCCCATCTTAATTTTATTCTAGGTGTGGGACGGGAAGTTCCCATCCTGTTGCCAGATGAAGCTACACACAGTTTATACAACACTCCCAGCTGCTGCATTAGTGAAGGTAATAGTTGTTTTGGACCAGCTTGTTTTAAACAAACAATTTAAACTTTACACATCAAATGTAACCCTTCACGCCTAAGGGTAAAACAAATATTAATGCCTAAGCACAATTTTGCAACTTTGACATGTGTTAGTAAAACCGTACATATCATCACAACTACTTTGTACATCCAGGTGAATTAAACCGCGTTTTTTTTCAAGACAAATTGGGCTTTCATTTGGTGGTAAATGGTAATAGAGATCTCCTGTTTCTTTTTTATTATCAAAAGGAAAACTGGCCCAAAATAGTAAAAAAAAAAAAAAAATAAATGTTTAAAATTTAGCTGGGTGTTTTGTTACTACCATAACCTACCAAAGAAGAACCCAAAATAAATTTTCCGGCTCTTGACGATTGCAGCGATACCGTATATGCGTATGTCATTTCTTGTTTGTACCCGTAGTACAACCCAAAATCAATAGTGCGCATTTTGTTTTTTGTGTTTTTTTTTCCTCCAAAAACACCTGACACTGATATCAATTAAAAAAAAAAAATCCTGACCTTTGACCCTGACCTGACCCAAATACTTACCATGGCACTGAACTAGATCAAACCTTGATCTAGGTATTTTTTTTTTTTTTTTTTTTTTCCCCTTTCTTTTTTTTCTCTACACCGGGAGTTGGAGAGATACAATGTATCTCTCTCCTCCATTCATAGAGAGAGAGAAAAAAAAAAATAAACAAGGGGGGCGGGCTATACAGTGACTGATCACTGTGATAGCCAAATCAGAGGCTATCACAGCGATCATGTGACCCGGAATCGGGAGTCCCGGGTCGTTAGAACAGGACCAGAGCTCTCTGACACCCCTGTCACTCCCCAGCGTGCTCCCCAGAAAGTATGCAAATATGTGGCCCCATGGAAAAAAACCCAGTTCTGTGAGGCCGCATGTTTGTGTGAAGTCCACACGAAGGGGGTTAAAGCAGAACACCAAGCAAATGAACCCCTCCCCGCCAAAAAAAAAAAAATTTTTTTACATTAGGGCTCATTTACAGTCAGACTTTTGGGGGGTAACTTTCTGACCAGTGGGATTGAAAATGCCCCACAGAGTAAACAAATCCTCAAACTTATTGGCCTGGGAAACATAAAATACTCAGCACCTCTGGTCAGTAGGAGAAGGAATAGTGCTCCATCGTTCGTATCTGTAGAAGGAATAGTACACCAACGTTGGTGTCAGTGGAACAGTGTCTCCTTTGTTTTTAGTGAAGTTTACTTAAATAGTTTGTTTGAAGCAAACTGATTCAAATGAACCCAACCTTCACTAACAGAAACAATGCAGTGGCTACTCTGGCCTAAAAGCCGCCCTATAGAGCAGTGTTTTGACCATGGGATAGGAATACTTCCCGTCCTACCTAACCAGGAACAAAATTGACTGAGCTTTCTACTCTATGATTGGCTGATGCAGAGCTGACATTACCACTGCCTTTCAGCCTCAGCTAATCCAGAGGTCACAGCTCAATGAATATGTAAAAAAAAAAAGCTACCAGCAACGTGGCCCGGACTTGATTTTGTTCTGGGATAACCTGGTGACCAGAGTACTGGAACACAAATCTGGTATAGTGATATAGCTAAAGCAAACAGTTTTATTTGCACTCCCAGTTAGTGAGGTGTATTTATTCTTGCACTGCATGAGGATTCCCAAACAAAGGTATTTAAACGTTCACTAAAAACTAGCGATCTACTCTAAGCTCACCACACACGTTACAATCTGAATTTTGTTCAAACCGTCATTATGGAGATAGGTGAAACAAATTTTTCACAGACTTGGCCATGCGTATGATTGAATCTGTGAATCAAAGATACAGTTGTAACCAATCGTTTCCGAGAAAAAAACCAACATAATTCTAATCATCGATGGGAGAAATTCCAATTGTGGGAAAGTAAATATGTAGATTGTACAATCAGAAGGAGCACGAGGTGTGATGGGCAGAAAACAGCATTCTACCCAAATGAAAAATGTAATTTTTTTGCAGCTCACTAAGGCTATGTTCACACTAGGCTTTGTCAGCAGGCATGACAAGACGTTTGGGAAGCGTTTTTAAATCTCTCAAACGCCTATAAAAATTCTGGCATGGCATCACACATTGCTGTTCAACTTCCAATTTTGCGGCAAAACTGAGAAATGTGGACCCAGGGGGAGTTGAAGCCTAAGTTCCTAAAGTCTATGGTAGCCACTGGCAGGCGTTTGCGAGGCCCGCGCGTTAATACCATTTACTTCATTAAGCATTTTAAAGCTGATAGGGCATTTGAGCAAAAAAACACTTCCCAAACGCCTGTCAAACACTAAGGGGCAGCAAGCGTTCGAAATAAAATCAAGTGGGGAGCCCTGCATTCTGACAACGTGGTGATGCAGCTTTTTTTTACTTTTTTGCAGAGATTTTTATCTCGTTGGCCAATAATTGTGTAATTAGGGGACAGCTTCCATTAAAAGCCCAACCTTCCAGCCAAAGTAGACAGTTAGGGAGTTAGGCAAAAAAATGTTTTTAAAAAGGACAAGGTGCTACATAAGCCCGCTTTTACTTTTCTGTAAAACAGGTGGTAAAAAGAAAAACAGTTTGCTGAGGCCTTACTAAAACATTAGAGAGGAGTTCACTTCAATTTAACAGTCCAATCTGGATTGACACATTACCTTTCCCTGACCCCCCTGGAAAGAACAAGGTGCTGTCCAAACGGTCTGCTGGCAATGGAATGTATAGGCCCAGGAATACGATTTGACCTTGTGTTAGTTTTAGCTTTTTCTGCCTGCAGAATTCTCCTTCAAATAGTTTGATTGCTACAAGTAAAACTGACGGTAAAAATGAACTCCATGCTACCTGTGGTCATTAATCTTAGTCATCCTGCTGGAGCAGGTGTCTGTATAACAGCACCCCTTTATAGTACTGTTCAGTAAACCATGGGATAGGCCCCGTCCTGAATGGCCAGGAAAAAATTGATGCTGATTCTTTCTGGAAACTCTAGGATTGGCTGATGCAGAGCTTGACATTAGCCACCTGCCTTTCAGCCTCAGCTAATCAGAGGACTCACTCATTGAATAAAAAAAGCTACCAACAGCGCCCAGCCCGACTTGATTTTGTTCTGGGAGTGGAACCAGGAACTACTGGAACACAAAGTGGTATACTGCATATCGCTAAAGCTACAGTTTATACAGCACTCCCAGTTAGTGAGGGTAATAGTTTGTCCAGCTTGGGATAAATTAACTATTTAAACGTCACTAAAAACTAGCGATCTACTCTAAGCTCACCACACACACGTTACAATCTGATTGCACAACCGTCGTTATGGAGATAGGTGAAACAAATTTTCACAGACTTGGCCAGTATGATTGAATCTGTGAATCATCAAAGATACAGTGTCATCAATCGATTCCGAGTAAAACCAACATAATTTGGATCATCATGGAGAGAAATTCCAATTGTGGGAAAGTAGATAATGGAGATTGTACAATCAGACTAATGTGTGATGGGCAGAAAACAGCATTCTACCCAAAATGAAAAATGTAATCAATTGCAGCTCACTAAGGCTATGTTCACACTAGCTTTGTCAGCAGGCATCAGACAAGAGTTTGGGAAGCGTTTTTAAACGCTTCTCATATGCCTATAAAAATTCTGCACATGGCAGCACACAGTGCTGTTTACACTGAAACGTTAGCATTGCGGCAAAACTGACGCCTAATGTGGAGTCAGGGGCAGTTGAAGCCTCCCATTTAAGTCTATGTTGCCACTGGCAGGTGTTTGCGAGGCGGTTACGCAGCGTTAATACCATTTACTTCATTATAGGCATTTCTCTCAAACCGGCTCAAAACAGCGCATAGGGCATTTGGGGAGCATTAAAAACACTTCCCAAACGCCTGTCAAACACTATAGGGGCGTTTGGCAAGCGTTAGAAATAAAATCAAGTGTGAATGAGCCCTAATTCTTAGACGTGGTGGATGCATCAGCTTTTTTTTAAGGCTTTTTTCCTTTATTTTTATCTGGTGATATGGCCAATAATTAGTCTGTAATTATTCAGCTTCCATTAACAGCCCAACCTGTCCAGCCAAAGTAGCAGTTAGGGAGTTGAGGCAAACTGTTTAAAAAGGACAGAGGTGCTTACAAAGATCGGCTTTTACTCATTTCTGTAAAACCTTTATTCTAAAAAGAAAAACAGTTTGCTGAAACTGCTTATAAAATATTAGCTGGAGTTCAGCTTCAATTTAACAGATCCATTTAAATCTGGTATTGACACATTACCTCTTCCCTTCCCCCCCCCCCCACACCCGGACTGACAATGCTGCTGTCCAAACGCGTCTGCTGGCTCTTTAATTTAGGTGAATACGATTTGTTGTGTTAGTTTTATTTTTCTGCCTGCAGATATTCTCCTTCACATTATTGATCCTGCTACAATTAAAACTGACCACGGTAAAAATGAAGGTGCTCCATGCTACTGTGGTCAGATTACATCTTATGTCATCCTGCTGAAGATGCAGGTGTGCTGTGCACAGCACCCCTTTATTTACTGTAGTCAGTAAACAACCACGCCCCTTGCCTTGAATGGCCAGGAAAAGGGGTAAACGATGTTTGCATTCTGTTGCCATGGAAACACTGATGCTTGGCGCCAATGATGTACAAGCCCCCCCACAATGGCTATGCCCACCTGCAGGTCAGTACATCCCTGCTGAAGCTGTAGAGATCACGTGACCTGCAGCCAAGAAAGGAAAAAAGGCTTTTTAAAAAATAAATAAAAAAAGTCATGACAGCCATTCATTTTTGTACCAAAAATGTTTTTAGGACTACTACTGTTTACAATGACGTCAACTCGGATCCGGGTCACGTGATCCTTAGGCCATGCCTATACATTACACTGTACATGTTCATCAAGTGTATGTCACATTGATCTTTTCGATAGTTTTCTTCTGAGTGCTAAATCAATTGATATTCCAATCTCTCTGTGTATGGCCGCCATACGGTTTCCCAGCTAGTACAAAGTCCTTCCTGACTGTTGTGGTAGGTTCCCCTATGACAGATTTGGTAGATGTAAAGCTACAGTACAGAGATTGGAGGGTGTGAAGCTACAGAAAGTTGTCCAGACATCAGATGTCAGTGCCCTGTGTAGGAGCTCCATGCCAGAAGAATACAGGCGGTCTATTCATAGGAGGTGTACATGTGCGGAAATACTGGCCGTGCAGCGATCACAGAAGGCCGTCTATGAGCCATCCTGCGACACGCGCCACACCCCAGGCCGGCTCCGGTCAGCCCTCCCGTCCGCCACGTCCCGTCCTCCCCCATTACCTGCGCCAGCCGCTCTCTTTCTCCTGACAAAACACCCACCTCCAGCGGCGGCTCACACAGCCTGTCCGGCGGCTCCGAAGAAGACAATGACAGGGTGACACCTCCACAGCCCGTGCACCTCCGTCCGCTCTCTGTACCGCAGCGTCACCCTCCTCGTCCCAACCAATCAGGAGCCGGAAACACACCCCTGGGCTGACGGAGCCTACACGTAACCTGGACGTGGCACCGGCGTAAAAGACGCCGCGCATGCTCAATAAGAGGAGTCTGGCTGCAGACTGGAGCTCCACTTTCGACAGGAAACGTGTGACCTCCACTCCAACTTTTTTTTTTTTTAAATTAACTTTAATGTAACAAACAACCAATAGACAACTCGAGGTAGTGGAGGTCACGTTTCCTGTCCAGTGGGGCTCCAGTCTGCAGCCATTGGTTGTTTGTTACATTAAAGTGGAGTTCCACCCAAAAGTAGAAGGTCCACTTATCTGCCTCTTTCCTACCTCTGCTGCCACATTTGGCACCTTTTGGGGGAAAGGGGGTTTTGACAGGTACCCACTTCCGGATTAGTTCATGCAGTGAACTGAGCCAGAAATTTCGCCCCCTCTGCAGCCCTCTGGGACACTTTACAGGTCCCAGAGGACTGCAGCCCATTCACACTACTC